AGGCACCTCTTCCCCTCCAGCCACAAACGCTGCGAGCATGCATTATTCAGGCCAGGATCTATAAACGGACGGGGGTACCGTACCCTTTTCATTGAACGGCGTGTGCCAAGCGAGAAGGTAGTTGTCTGGTTTCAGTTCCCTGCAGCCTTCGATGGTAGCGGGGTCTGGCCGCCTCCCCGAGAGCTTGTCGACAGCATCCACGTAGCGTTTTACCAGCTCCCGGTACAGGTCTTCTAAACACCAGTAATCTGCTCGGAGGAGGGAAGAGGAGGTTGCTACGTGAAGGCAGAAGAGCGAGAGAGCACTGAACACAAACAAGCGAGCTCACTGTGCATTTAGGAAATGTTCCATTTCCACTGCCAATGCACCGCGTCGCGCTTCTGGTGCCGCTGCCAACACGTGTGTACCCAGCACGAGAGCGGGCTGGAGGGAGAACAGCCTCCTCTCTCTGTTCTCATGTTTTCCTGCTTTCCTTTCCGCTTTGAACGCCTGTAATCAGAAAGTTGAAGGCATTCTGTTGGTCAGCAGTAGCTGCTCAGGGGCTTTATTTCGGCTCCGTGGTGTGAAGCGCTTGCAGCGGAGCCCAGCTCTAAGGGGAGTGGGCTGCGGCCGTGGGGACCGCGTGGGCGCACGAAGCCAGCTGTGCCTGGCCCGGCTTTTGCCGTCGTTTGCAGACACGAATCCAATGTGACAATGAAAGCCTTTTTTTTTTTTTTTTTTTTTAATTACCACTCAATTATTTTAAAGAGGTATGTATGTACGCTTAAACACAAAAGCAGACTAGTGTCCTTATTTTTGAATCTGTATTTTATATTTATTTTAGCTGATATCTGCAGGTCTTTCATGCAGGGATCCCTATATATTATGTCAGTACAGGAACCAGAACAGGGAGCCTTTATAAAAATGATTATAAAGATCAGTAAGAGTAGTAAATCCCTACAGTCTGTAGCATTTCCAGCAGATAAATTTCTTTCTGGAATTGGTTCGTTAGCCGCATCTCTTTATTGATTATTTTTCCTAAGGCCTGCAGCCCTGCCTAAGGAGGAACCTTTCCCCTCTTAAACAGACACGGTTCCTTCAGTATAGCTGCTTCTCTCGGCTGCTGCTGCCTGCAGTTGGGCTTGAAGAGCCCTGCCCTCAGCTCTTGCCGAGGAAGAGCTTCCACCGGCATCTATTACACTTGTGTAACCAGTGGGAACTGGGGAGGCCGTCGGGATTTGTCCATTTAGATCTTTTCTGTGTACTTCGAGAAACCCCGTTTAATAGTTGGTTTGACTCACAGATCGAATGACACAGCAGGGGAAGTTCTAAAAACATCTTCATTTTGTCAAAGATCGGTGGTTTCCTGAAATCCGCAGGAGAGGTTTAATTTAAGAGAAAGTTTGGAGCCCTGCAAGCCAGAGCCGCTCAAAAGTACCAGTCAGGCAGACAGGTGAATAAAGACCATCCGTGGTAAAACCAAGATTCCCCTCCTTTCACATAAAAAAGCACCCTCTCCATTATGCTGGCCACCCCACACACAATCCTAGAGCAACAAGATAGTTTCAAGCTGCCGACTCTTTTCAGATTTAGGAATCAGGTGTCAGTTTATCCGGCTGGGAGCCAGGAGCAGGATTTACCGCCCGGCAGCTTCTGCAGAAGCCTCGTCCCCAGAGCCGGAGTCCCTGTGGTCCAGCAGCTCCGCGCTGCCCGAGCCCACCACGGCTCCCGCCTCGGCCGTCAAGTCCATACGACAGACGCCTTCTTCAGAAATGAACCCTTATGTTTTTTAGACCCGTGTTTAAGTCGGAGAGGAAAAGGCTTTCCTCGTTGCAGGGGTAGTTCCCCTGCTTTCGACGATGCTGGTTTTGTTCCTCCTTTACGGGACAGATTCCTACTGAAGCAGATGTTTCGTTTACCCTTCACTGTGGGATCAAACTTTCAGTCTCTACACAGGGTGGATTTGGGGAGCGCCAGCGCAGTCTGCAGCAGCGCCCGCAGCCCCCGCTGCTCCTGGCCACGACCCTCCCGGGACGCCCTCCACGCGGCCAAAATCACCTCCCCGGCTGAGAATTGCCTTCGTCCTCCCTGCAAACCTCC